AGAGCACTTGCTATAACAAAGTATACAATGTTGTTGCTGTAACTTGATGTGATGCTACTGTTGCTGCTGTATTGAGTATTGATGAGTATAATGCATTTGTTAGCCCACCCACCCAAAATCTCCACCAGCCGTCACTGCATATAGAGATGACAAAGGAGATGAAAATAACATTTACACAGTGAAATTCAGCTGTGAGTCAATACAAAATACGTGGTCCCCACAAGTAACAAAGAAAATTATGGCCCCCACAAGTGACAAAAACAAGAACGTGCATATGTTTGTTTTTGTATAAGAAGAAAAATGTTATTATTTAGCTGTTTATTTGTGCAAATATACAAAGAGTCTCATACATGTTTCAAAGCCAGCACTGTATATACAACTGTTTATTGTTACTCCATTAAATTAATCATGACACACTGTAGACTAAACCACACAGCATTAAATACTGCGTTTCCTCTGAAGACAACTTGATATAAATATTAAAAGATTTTTCCCTGTGTCCTCCAAGAATATGCACAACCCGTGAGAGCATGTACAATACATAAATTGTGCATATTATATGCTAGAGACATTTTACAGTACAAACAGATGTCCAGATGAAAACCATGTCATATGTTCATATGCGTTAGATGCGGATTTAGTACCACGTAGAACATGCAAATAACAGTCCTTCAGTAGTTGTAATATTCTGATGGACAATATCTGATCAGTCAAATACATTTCCTCATCATTATGAGTACATATCATGTAATACGAACCAAATTTCCACCAAAATAGACAATCTTATCCACTCATAGTGACTACTATGAGTGGATAAGATCAACCAAAATCACTCTTTGCTAACCTCGGAGGAGTGTGGACGCGAACCCTCGACTGTGTGACAGTCCCGTCATCCACCCCAATACCTCCTTGCGAGTCCACCGTGTAACACAAATGTAGTGTTTTCAAAAAACAGATATTACGTTGTTGCCACAACCAGGGGCGTTTTATAAAGGGGACCCGTGAAATCTGATTGGCCAACCCGTTATCCTTACCTATTCCTTTTTATATATATATATAACTAGAAGACCTAACACATCAACTGGTACCAACCAAGGGGGGAAGAGGAAGGGTTCCCATGACCTTTGACTTCAAAATATTTTAATAAATACAGGATCTACGGGTACCCACGAGTCTCCCCTTAATCATGTCATCAGGCATTCCATTTCAAAAAGATAATAACTAAAAACAAAATGACCACTGTTACATAGAAAATAAAGAAACATTTGTGGACTCTTTTAGCCACTCCGGTCCAGTAGTCGGGGCTCTCCTCCTCCCTCCTGTTGCTGAGGAGCAGAGACAGTGTTTTCTCAATCTCTCTCAGCTCGCTTGAGATCTTTTCCAAAGCATGACACTCCTCCATTGGTATGCTGCTGTCGCCCTGCAAAAGTGGTTGAGTAGAGGGGTTTATACAATTATGGATTGTAACATTATCAGCTAAGACATTTCAGCACTTCATGCCCATCGTGATGAGGATTTAAACCCAATTCTAACCTCTTTGGCAACCGGCAGCAGTTCAGATGGAGTTTCACCAGTAGACACATCATAGATGCATTGAGTCAATTTGGGCACCTCTGAAGGGAAACAAAGACAATTTCAAAGCAAACACGTATTAAGTAGAAAAATAATTAATGGTTAATCATTGCTGGTTTATGTGTACCTACATTGATTAATTATTTATCTAAAAGTTTGGTGCACAAACAATTATTTTAATTATTAATTATTATTAAGCAGCTTTTTGATGCACAATATGGTCAATTTAATATTAATATTTTGATTATTTTGACACGTATTGCAATTGTAATTTTTGCATCACAAATTTTTATTTTCAAAAGCTATTTAAATCATGATTATATGTAGAATAATCTGGAGAAAGATTTGTAGGCCAGGGCATCTCTTCAGAACTACAGTAATTGATTATAATGTTGTTACACATATTATATTAAAATTGCACCTTATTGCACTAGTTTTTGATCAAGCAACAGGTCAGATTGACGACCATGTTTCATGTTAGCTACCTTTTATTCTGTTCGATATTAGTAAATGAGTAAATGAGTTTTACAGCTCTTAGAATAGACATGTAATTATCATTATACAACAAGGTTGTACAATGGAATAAAAGTCCCTTTATGCTACACACACATGATTTCATATATGAAATAAAATAAAATAAAATATCTAAATCTCTATATCTACATAAGGACCAGTAATTACTAAGGACACTAAGGTTATATGTAACTAGACTAATTTTGAACAGCAAACTGGCTCCTGGTCTCACCTCCATGACTATTGTGGAAGTTGGCTTTGCCCTGTTTGTCACAGTCCTCTCTCCAGCTTTGGTTTCTGTTTGCCTCGTTGTTTTGGGATGCAGTGGAGTCTTTCTCTATCAGATGCATCACCAAAATCGTCTCCAGGAGGCTCAGCATCATCAGAGCAAAAATCCCAATACAGTAGACCGCTGAGAGAGGCAGGCAGCATCATTAATGCAGATAAATAACAACTCTTTGAGTCAGTATGTGCTGTTCCTGCTTTTCTTTACCTATAAGTGGAATCCTGTTTGACGAGGAAGGCAGAATTTCGTTCAGAATAAGTTGTAACACGGTGACGGCAAGCAGCACGGTGATCTTGAAGCTGAGCTTCTCGCCCCCGCTGTCTGAGATCAGGAAGGAGGCCAAGTCCAGACACAAGAAGAACAGGATGGGCAGCAAGAAGTTGATAATGTAGAGGAGAGACCGCCTCCTCATGGTGATCTGTGACATGACGTTAAAGGTTGAGGTGGTTGATGTTGTTATTCCTGCACGTCTGAGAAAGGCAACTGGAAATACTACGTAGTACGCAGCCTGCAACAACATAATCTGCAACAATCTGCTCATGTTCTGCTGTGTAAAAAGAAGCAACAGAATCATTATTATATTGTATTAATCCTACACTCACAAATTGAAGTAAAAAGATATTTTTTATGAGTTAAAGAGGAGCTGCTGGTGGCTATTTTCAGATCAGTTAAAGAAGTAAAAGAAGAAAAAAATAGGGTAAGAAGTTTGAAAATAAGGAAAAAAGAAAGGCAGAAAATGCAGATATTAGTAATATTCCACGAAAACCAACCCTACTCTGCCTGAAAATGTTAGGGTCAGAACCAATCAGAGGACGAGTAGGGGAGGAATACAGGTGGTTAAAAAAGTAGGCAAGCGCCCGCATAACTATATCCCTGTGTAAACACTTAGTTAGCTAGAATTAGGTTTAGGGGTATGTTGTGGTTAAGGAACCTTTTTTTGTCCAATTCAGGCACTGAATAAAGTGATACATTTACTTTCTACCTTTGTACATCTGTGGCTAGTTATACGTACAGTGTAAATGATGATGTCCTGGCCGAACAAATCGCTGGCATTGTTGGCGGTAACTGTCATGTTGATGAACAGCCACTCATACTGGGTCCGCATCACCTCACGAGACCACTCGGTGGCCTCTGAAGAGTTGTCGCTCGGCTGGAGCCGAATATCCTTTGCTGCATGAGATAGGAGGTGAAAGAACTGGTTGCTATATATACCATGATACCGTGATGTTCATGGTCCAATTTAGTAGTAAAATAGACCATAAAATAAGTTATACTTTAGGGTGTGGCTGCTTTGTGATGTTAACAGTAAAACTCAGATCAAACTATCAAACAAGGTAGTGCTGATCAAATATGAATCAAGATTCTCAGTTGGCAGGAAAAGCCAACAAACGAGGGCCGGTTAGTGCTAACAATTCAAAAACTTGGGCTACAGATGCTCACCAATAGGGCTTTTAATTCTGAAAACAACATGAAACTCATCTACACATCTATCAAAACCATCTCCACTGCAAACGTTCTGCTCACCATGACCCCCCGCTCTCTGTCACAGTAAATAAAAATACAGCAGAAATACAGCGACTACACAAAATAGTCCCATATTCTGCACCTAACGCTCATATCACAAAGTAATTGAAAGAACACTTAATTTGGGGAGAACATTTAAAGCATGATCATATCTGATTGTTATCATCTGTCATTGTTGTAGTGTGATATGAACAGAAAAAATCAAACCATCGAATAAATAATAATTAACACTTGCTCTTAATCAGTGCCACTTGGGACGGTGATGTGATTATGCTTATTATGCGAAATTATATAGCCTATTTATTGGCAATGTGAAATTAATTAGTATAGATCGTCTACGGTAGACAGAGAATGGAAGGATACTGTGCTGTTGGTTAATGCACCGACAGAGGGCGCTATTGCAAAACCAAAAAAATATTCTTTTACTAATTCTTTCCCTTTCACAAAAGACTGACTCAACCAATATGTTTACCTCAGACACACAACTGTCACTATAAACTCTTATAAACACAGTTACACATTAAACACAACTCATCACGCTCTCACCGGTGTGTATGACGGACTTGAAGGAGAGGTTGCAGCTCTGGATGTCGAAAGGGAATTTGTAAATGTGCATCCTGCAGGTGCTGACCAGCACCTGGTCGTTCTGGACCTCAACATCGCCTTTATCATTGATGGTGAGATAAGGACTCGGGGGAGCTTTGTCCTTCTCTGTCCTGTATGAGAACACACAGAGACACACATGATGGCTAGACCCAATACCAGTGCTCTATGTTCCCCAAATTAAAACTCTGTATACCTCACTGTTTTTTATTTAAGGTAACTTGAGGCAAGTAATTGTGACGTAATCAATGTTAATTTTATGAAAACATTGACAAAGAAAATGCATATAATGTGTCACATCATCGCGGATGCCCAATCCGCTTCATTAGGTGGCAATAAGATAAGTTATGCAACTACATTTCACGCAAGTAATTTTTAATTTATCATGCATGAATGCATTAAGATAAACACTTAAATTCTCCAGTCTGGAGTCAATAAACTATTGCAGAAGAAGAAATGATAGAAAACCATGTTGAAAATGTGATGGATATTTTGGCAATTTATATTTATTTATATATTAATTTATGAATATTCACCAGCTTGAGTATTAAAATGTTTCTCGCAAAACCAACTTAAAACTATTACAAAAATGTTAACAGTTGTTCTTCTTCACCTTCACAAAGTGCAGGCAAGTGCTCCTCATTACTATTTCATTATTTAAACCTTTGGATTTCTATGATTGTATCAAGCACACAGCAGCGGCCACTGAGAGAGAGGCCCTGTGGAGGGAAGCGCACTTCTTTCGGGACTGTCTACCCCCAGAGTGGGAATTCAAGTCTTGTTTTGGGATGACGTAACCCGCCATTTGTTTTGGCGGTGGTTGGTGTCCAGGTGTGTCTGGCACTGGGCTGTTTTGTTGTAAATCTAGCAAGTTTTGCCACAGGGCTAACTAAAAATAATTGTTGATCATTTCAAAAGGGGAGACATGAAAAGAACAACACTGAAGAGCAACAAAAAAACAAATATATTAAAATGGAACATCTGATTCGGTCAATATTGAACACTACCTAATTGCGACTGAGCTTGGTGACATATAAACATGCAGACTCAACGTAACTTGTGACTGCGACAATGATGGGATTCGAACACACGTGTGCAAAGCACCAATAGGAACAGGCAGTCCATTGCCTTAAACCACTCATCACCTCTACTCTGGGAAGTGTGTTTTCAAGGGTGGACTACAGGACGTGTTATCATGACAAAGCACACAAAGTTGAGGCACAAGTCAGCTTGGCACACAAGGCAAAGAGCCAGTCTACAAGGGGAATTAGTTCAAATGGTAGAGCGCTCGCTTTCCCTCAGATGGTAATGGTCTTCTTAGTCTTTCATACCGCTGCCTGAAAGCCGACTTAGTTGCATTGCTCTCTCACATGTGTGCTTCTCCCAGCCCGGCTGGAAGGTAACTGGCAAAGGGTCTCAGCCACCACAGGAACAACTAATTCCCTGCAATAACGGCTTGTCATCTGGCCTCGTCATCTGGCCTCTTCCTCTGCACTTGTACCACTGCTGAAAATACTGCTGCACCTTACAAAGAGATGTCACTTTTAAAAAGTAGTGTTCTGTTCCACATACTTGTCCTACCGTTCATTACTGTGTTTATGTGAATCTGAAAAAGAATACCAGAAACTCTGAAAACAAAACAAAAAAAACTCTATATATGACTATAATATATAATATATATATTAATATAATATAATATAAAATGTAAATATACACACATGGTGAATGTGTGTGTGTGTGTGTGTGTGTGTGTGTGTTAACAACATTCACACTTACATTTCTTCAATGGTGAGATCTGGCTTCCACAAAACTTCAGTAGGAAGAGAAACATTATCAATGCCACAAAACTGATTTGGATCCCAGGAAATGTATTCATTGTGCCACCTCTACAGCGGGAAACAAAGGGGTAAACAACAGGAACATAGACAGGAAATACAAAGGGAAGTGAGAAAGAGGGACACAAATTACTGTAACACCATTTTAAAGAGATTTAGAACATTGATATAGCAGCAAACAACTATTTGCTATGTAAAGATATGAGGGAGTAATAGTGTCCTGAACAGAGAATGATGTCACACTTGAGTCCCTTCGTGTTTGCTTTGAAGAAAGCAATATAGTGGCTGTTTCTCATTTCTCATTTAACTCCATATATTAAGGATTTATTTTGACCAAACAAGACTTGGTGATTGTTGGAAAAGACTAAAAAAAGACGGTTTTGGTGAATTTTATTTTGTTTCTGTCCAGTTGAAATGAAGTTATGATAAAATTACCACTTTTGTCAATGGAGTCTGGTGTCAAATGAAATTACAGCTTTTTCTGGTTAAACAAACGCTCTATCTCTGTAGGGGTCCTTTCCTTAAAATTGTCAGAAACTCATAATAACAATCTGAGCCTGTCAGACAAAAACAACTACTTTTAATGGACATACTTTGACTTATTGCCCATATTTTTTACATCTTTCATTTCAACTAAACAAGCGATGGTGATTGTCGGAGGTCTGGTGGATGATGCTGGTGCTCTAGTGCGACATCTAGTGGCAGTGAACGTCACCTTTAAATCTGAGTTCTTTATTATCTACTGACACTGAACTCACCATGACAGTCCAAACATAAGGAATGAATTTCTGATCTTTCTCAACCTGGAAACAAAAATAATGAGTGTGAAAATCTTTCCAGCCAAAGCACAAACCTCCACACAGACGGCACAATGCTCTGAATTTATACATTATAAAGTCTAAATCTGTAATTTGCATTATAATAAACAGAGTGATGAATGAATGAATTTACAATAAATCCTGTTCATGTAAACATTTCAAATTTGTGGTTTGGCTTGAGATAAACACCTAAAGCAAGAGAGCAATGTCAAGCTATCAAAGCTAGCTGGTGAGATAGCCACAGTTAACATAATTAAGCCAAAGTTATTATCCCTAGTTTCTGAATTTAGTCTGAATATAGTGTTGTCAGATTGACGTAAAGGCTGCAGCAGCACATGTAAGAGAGAAAATCAATCTTAAAATCTGTTTAATAAATGGTGCAACTGGGACAAAATGTTACATATTACCACAGTAATCATTTGACCTGCACTCCCACTATATATTTCCATGTTTCATTCATGCGAACAACAACAACATGAAAAAATGTATATACAGCAAAGTGATTAAGACACAGATTGTGAGAAGATTCCTGTATTTGCCAAACAAACCTTTCAAAAGGATAATAAAGTTATATTAAAACACATTTTGTTTGCATTTTCCACCTCACATTCCCTGAAGATTTTCTAAAGTCATTTTTTAGGTCTTACATCCATAATAGTGTTTTTTTGTGGGTTAAAATAATGAACCTAACCAGTTAATTAAGTTATTACAACACATTTAAATATATTTTACAGCTGGAATATTTTATACTGAACTGTTAATGTAGTCACTGCTGTCCGCCATCATAAGTGAAACACTGTGATATGCTTAAGAGTTACGAGTATTTGCTACATGAATTTTGGCGACCAATTGACCCATTTGTGCCCAAAGACTATATTTAATATGACAAATAAAAATGCCATAAAATTTGTTCTGATTGCTCTAAAGTCTAGAAATGTAGTACAGACATACATTGGGCAAGTATCTGAGAGTAAATTTTAAGATAACATTAAAATATCACACTTTTATCATGTGTCAAAGTCAGGATTTTTGAATGACGAGGAAAAACACTACAATTGTGTTAATTTGATGTATGTTGTATGATATCAAATACTTGTTTGTGTGTAGTTGCAGCCAATTTCTTATCATACTATATTTAGTCTTTGGGTACATGAGACTACTGTTTGTTCCTAAAATGGTAGAAAACGCTCCAGAATAAGCAGTAAAAACAGAGGGATTTGTATTATTTTTTTATTACAAACATACTTTTATTTATATGGAATATATATATAGGAGCCTGTTGCATGTGTGTACGAAAAATAATAGAAATCCCTCAGTTTTTACTGCTTATTCTGAGGCATTTTATACCATTTTAGGGGGGGAAAAAGTAGTCCCATGTGCCTAAAGACTAAATACAGGTTTGACCAATTTTGAACATTTCTTTAGATTTGAGTTTATGCCCAGACAACACTTCCAACAAAGGAAATTGGAGAAATATAGATTTAATCACTTACCACATCTAGTATGGCATAGAGCAGCACTTCCAGTGACACCCGTGTGGGCCGTTTGTAGTTTTTAACAGGCCGGGTCATTAAGTACAGTTCATTGTTTCTGTTCAGGTTCAGGTGGTTTAAAACATCGTGATAACTGCAGTTTTGCTCAGTGTACACCCCATCTACAGGAAAGAGACACATCAAAACACATCAAAATACATCAAAACACATTCTGTTTGACAGAAATCACATTAAAAGGAAAGAAATCAGGAAATTAAGCTCTTAATCAATTTTCTTCTACAATAGAACTTCAGAGACATCAGATTTACTCTATGTGCTCTTAATTATTTATAATTTAGAAGAAATGACAAACATTAGTCTCTGTTCTGTCTGGTTGTGCATCCACCGCTTTCTCAGATTATTATTATTAGGGCATAAAAGAAACACCAGCTCACAAATATCTGCAGTAATAACCATTGATTGTGGTCACTGAGAGGCCATTGCGAGATGGGCGTTGGCAGGACGGCAATCAGTCCACTAATGATTTTTAAATGTGAGCACTTTTGCTGTCATTTAAGTTAAAAATGAGGGGCTGTCTAACTAAGATCCATCTGCTATTTGTCGCTCAACTGCATGTAGTTAAAGTGGCACAATTTTTAGATTCATCTAATATTCCTATATATAATAACATATGAATATTTCATATAAAAAAGGACATATTAACATTGAGTTGCTTCTTTTTTCTTGTTTTTTTTCTTTTTTACATTTTGTTTGTAACTCTGGAAACATTTTTATTCTTAACATCTTTATTTATTTATAAGAAAACATCGCTTTTCTGGCTCACACGCATTAATTCCTTCACTACAAACACCAAGCAGACACATGAAAATGATAAACACTAAAAAGGTAGTTTCATCCTTAAAGTTTACAGTGTTTAAAAAGACATGTTTAAGTTAAATTAACAATCCACAAGAGTGTTCAGGAAATAAATGACAAAAAAGCTTACCTGTGAAGAAGAGAAGAGAGAGGAAACCAATAAGCATCTTCACTGCAACACCTGTGAGAATCTGCATCCCAGTCCTCTCAGTGTTTGTCTGGAAATGTCACCAAGGCTCTAGCAGTAATAATACCTCCGCCTCATAATGGAAGAGGGGCCGGGCCAAAATGGATCACCTATCATTTATGTTTTGCTTTTAATAGTCTCATTAGCCTGCAGCCATCCGGAGAAGAGTGGTCACTCCCTCAGTGGTCATCACCGCATCTCTCTGGGAATATTCAGGGGAAGAAGCAGGAGGCGGGAGGCCTTGATGAGACAGAGATGGGCTGTTTAGTGGTCATCGCAGCTATTTTTCGCACAAATCAACAGTTGGATCAGTAAGAAGACAGAAAGAAAGAAGATAAAATAAGCTTATTGATGCCCAGAGAGGAAATTCAAGTGTTGCAGCAGCACAAGAATAGAAATAAGTGCAGATAAATCACTGAAAGTAGTAAGAAATAATAAAATAAGAATAAATATAGGAAATTACAGCGTTATTACACATTTTTAAAATATATGAATTAAATTATGTATTGAGATGTATAACTGATGATTAATTCAGTCATATTCTTTATTGACAAAAGCATGAAATTA